TCTGAACGGCGAGTTGGAAGTCGCCCAACTCATTGGCTGTAGGTGATGACGGTGTTCGAGCGTGCGTAGACTCGGCGGTTCGTTGCGGGTCCATGGATCTTTTGGAAAACAGCTGTTAGCCAGAACGATAGACAGGTCATAATAGCCGGCACACATCAAATATGCAGTGGTGTAGGCTTGACGTTTGCTTCCATACGGATGTATATAAAGGTCCCAATCATCCGGCGAGGCAGTTCGTACACGTCGACAAACAACCGCACGACTCTCAAGTTCAAAATGAGGAAATGATATAGTTTAGTGATAGCGGAATTGGATATGACGGTGAGGTCACTGACGGTTTGTAGGGCAAAGTCTGAAACAAGAGGATTGAGAATATGTCGGAAAACTCATAGAGCATTTTGCTCGATTATTTTGCAAACAGGTGAGAGAGCTAACAGCGATGAGTAGCATCGGGAAAAGAGGGAAGTGTGTTGGATGACCACGCTCACACAATGGAAGGAAACGCAATGTAGGAGTTATTCAATACTTGGTGAAAGGTCTACACATGTAGGCTGCTTTGTTCAAAGAGCATAGCCGTCCTCAAAGATGAAATAGTTCACGGATAGCCTGGAATGCAGCGGCGCAAGAGATGACACATCTTTGCGTAAACGGTGCTGCGGTGGGAAAGAAAATCATGAGTTAGAGTCCAAGGCTTACAAGCCTGGCGAAGGTTGGTGCGGCCAAAGTTGTAGCCTTATCGGGGAGTTTCAGGCCTCAGGCTAGAAGCTCCAAATTCACGTCAACGCATCCCACAACAGCAGCTTCACGACACGAAGTTCTCTCGACACAACCACCTGTCTGCCTTTCTCACCCACTGTCACGCCTCTAAATATCAATCATGGCCAAAGACAAAGACAAAACCCTCAACCCCGCCGCCCAACAGCGCAAGCTCGACAAGAACCGCGCCCTCAAAAAAGGCAAAGCGACCGTTCAAGCCCAGCGAAACGAGCGCCTCGCTCAGCGTAACCCCGAACGCTTGCAGCGCGAAGTCGATGAACTCAAACAATTGGAAGAGGCCGGTGGTCTGAAGCCACGGGACAAGCAACGCCTTGAGCAACTTGAACAACAGGTCAAAGGCATTCGGAAAGCGAGAGACGCGCTCGGAGACAAGGCACCGCAATTCAATCGCGGTGGGGGTGGAGGCGAGCGCGGTAGGGGAAGCGATAGAGGCAGTGGCAGGGGAGGAAGGGAAGGTGGTGTGCTGGGAAAGAGGAGGAGAGATCGTGATGACGCGGAGCAGAGCAGCGAGACTGACGAAGATGCCCGTGACATTCCTATGCCGAAGGATGTCGAGAACGAGCCCCCCATCCCAAGGCGGCGTGGACCACCGCGCAACGCGAACGAGACGCCTATGGGCGAGTCGAGGATGCCGCATGCGCTGCCTGACAAGCCGGTTGCGGCGCCTCAGGCGCAGACGGTTTACGAGTCCAAGCCTGTCATAAGAGATCTGAAGAAGGAGGCAGCAAGATTTGTGCCGAGTACGGTGGCGCAGAAGATCAAGAAAATCAAGGGTGAGGGTGGGAGGCTGCTGGAGCCGGAAGAGGCGGATAAGCTCGAGCAGGAAGGATATAATGCTGCGCGGGGTGTCGCCAATGAGATGGAGAAAGAGGCAGAGTATAAGATGATGAATGCGGAAGCAAATGCACGTCCAGGCGACCGTGGGGATGGAAATTTGAGTCTTGAGGAGGAGGAAGCAGCGTTCCGGAGAGAGCTGGCAAAGGTGCAAAAGGAAGAAGCACAGGACGGTGCGGAGCTTGATGAGGTGGAAGAAGAGTATGATGAGTTTGGGCAGAAGAGATCACGGGATGTTGAGGGCATGGCGCAGGAGATGGAGAAGGAGGCTGGATTCAAGATGATGAACGCTGAGGCTTTGGGAGGTGGTAATAAGGGGTTTGAGCAGGTTATCAGAGGCGTAGAGCTGGAAGAGGTCGAGGATGAAGACAAGGGCCGATGAAGCTTGGTTCGGGATCTTTTCTCTTGAACGCAGAAGAAAACACACTGGACGTCTCCTTGCCAATCAACTGCGGTATTCCCGCGTCCTACTTATCGACTGCGCACGTTCACTTCACGGTACAGATCAAATGTGCCTCACATGCCCATACCGGCATCACTGCAGCTTTGCTTACGCTACAGCAAAGGACCTTGTAAGCTAATACCTTCTACCACGACAGAACTACAAAGTCCATGGCCGGGTCGTTCTCTTGACAAATATCAAGCGAATATCAGTATTTCTATCGACGTATGGGAAGCATGTCTTTGCCCGGAATAAACACCAGACTGTATAAGATTGCAATGGGACAGCAATTGGAATCATGTGGTCGTTTTCGTCCACGTAGGCCCGAGACTGCACTTGCTCCGTAAATTTAACTGTCATATTGGAGGGCGTGATGAAAAAGAAGCCGCGGCCCTTGAACTCCGACCAATGCTCATGTATGAGCTGCTGATGTCGCAGCGTGCCAACATGTACGCACAACGGCTCCACGTCGACACTAAAGTACCAAGAATCGAGCAATGGCGCGAGCTGGACTTGACAAACAATATAAAAACAATGATAGAGGGCAGGAAGCTGCTCAGCGCGATTCGCGCTTAGAAGCTCTTCGATCGCCCAGAGCCTTATGGCGAGATCTTCGGTATGCATTTTTCGAAAGCCAATATGTACTTTGCGTATGCGTGCGCTGCTGGTAAATATACGGCCTTGGATCTGGCCTCTTTACTTCGGGCCATCACCGATGCACAGAAGAAATTGACCCAGCCACGCATCGAGAACACGAGGAGCTCGACATCGATCAGTAAGAGGATGCATGAAGTGGAGCAGCTGTGCAAGCACTCGTGGAAGCGGTCGAAGAAGGGCCATCGCTCGAGTCCATCTGATGCTGGACTGATGCCTAGATACCCGACCTACCGCAGCTACAATGGTGCCATGGAGGGGAGGGAGGAGCGGAGTGACGTGGCGGGCAACAAAGCGGAGGAACCAAGCGTTAGCAAAAGTTCTGAGCGCTGGGCGTAAAGGTCGGCTATTCAAGAAAGGCTCGTAGCAGGAGCACGGATGATCTGCGCTCTTGAAGCGCAGAAAAGAGATTAAAGATAATCTGGCATTCTAAGCAACAGCGGACTCTTGATGATATGATCGAACTCGATCCAGATATGCAAAGAGCAGCTCAGAGGCTCGACTGCTGGAGAAGTCTCCGCCATGAAATGATCAAAGTGGACCCGTATCATGCGCCTACTGCACATCAATAAACGCTCGGCCGTAGTTTTTGTCTTCTCGAACCATGAAAATTTGATTGCCTAGCCATAGATACAAGTAGATACATTCGTTGCTCGACATTCTAAGCCTCCATCTTTCCTATGTCTCAGGGAGTTCTTTCTCCTTGCCGAAGCTATCTCATGCGATAAACATGTTCGGTAGATATATGCGTGTTACAGCACGTGACTCATCGACCAACGTGAAACACTTCACGAATCTTCCTTGGTCTAGTGGTCATGATTTCCGCTTGTCATTTCGAAAGCGATGAGAAGCGCGGGAGACCGGGGTTCGATTCCCCGAGGGAGAGTTTCTTTTTGCTTCTACACTTTCTATGGTAGGAAACGTATCTTCTTGGCGTCCTGGGCAGGTTGCGTCGGGCAATGGAAAGAGAGGTGGACGTGTGCGGTGGTGTCACGGTCGAGCGTAATGATGTGTGTACCTACGTGAATTGAGATGGCCCGGACCGGTTATTCACGTTGATTGAACAGTGCGCTCGTTTTAGAGTTACGGGGTCCGTTGTATTGGCTTGCAATGTTGTGAGGATGGACTGACTCAATGGCGATGCGCTACGGCGGAGGCTAGACGGTACGACCTTCACGTCGCAGACGTCGAGGGTTGTTGGAGACGCGAAAGGCAGCTTTTTGCCGATCATCGCCTAACTATCTACACGCAAGATGAAGTTGAAAAGCACAATCGCCACGACTTTGAGGACGTTCAAACTGTATACCGTTTGGAGGGTTGGCCGTGTCAAAAATCGCGGCTGTGATGGTACATTGACCGTCCCTCAGCATTCCCAAAACCATTGATACCCA